TTTTTTTTTTTTTTTTTTTTTTTTTTTTTTTTTGAAAGCAGAACCTCAAGGTGGCTCCTTTTCCATTCTGGGGAGCATCAGTCCGGTTCCTATTCCGCCTGCAAGTCAGAAAATATTGCAATAAGCACTCACTCACGCTCCTCCCCCTTATGGCGTGGAGGYCTGAAGAAAGGCATTGATTACTTCCGGAAGGAAGGACGTACCACCCTTCACCCCTGCCTGAGTTAGCCTGTTCTAATTTACTGTGAAACGGTTTTCACCTTTGCAGAAACAGATGCAGTTCCCAGGGTTCAATCCCTAGACCTTACCTGCACCCGTGTACAGTATCGAGTAGACCCCTGTGTGTTGTGAACCCGTGACCTGTGTTTTACTAGTGACTGTACCTTGTCATAGGTCCCTGTAGTTGTAGGGGTTCGATCTGTAGATCTGTCAAGTAGGGGTTACAGATGTGTAGAGGTCGAAACTGCTAGGCTAGAGGTCTGTAGGTAGGTCGTAGGTCCAGCTGCGTCAAGTAGGCAGTGCGACTGTATCGAGTCGGCAGTGCAACGCCGTCCAGTCAGCGGTACCGGTCCAGTCAGTCGCAGTCCAGTCAAGCAAGTACCAAGGACCACAAAATCTTGGTAAGATCCTGTCAACTATACTTCTACGTTGTCACTACAGGACTTACTGCTAATCAGGAGGCATTTAAGGAGATCCCCGTAACTCCTTAGGAATTATTTAACGTCACAAACAGGACGACGCGATCAACAAGTCCTCTCAAGATGTAGACAGCTGATTGTGCAGCCCACAACTCGGATTTTGGGCCTACCGTGCCATATTGAGCAGCCCATCCAGTCTGTACCGGTCCTTGGGAGGGTTTGTCCTCCGCGTCAGTTAGTCGTCAGTCACGGCCTTTAGCCCTACTCAGCCCATATGGGTTTGGTCAATGCAGCTCTATGACTTCATTTACAGAGTTCCGTTCACCTGGACAGAAGAGACTCAATGCAGAAAGAAGAGACAGACTGACTCAGCAAGCACCATGGGGTGTGTGCACATCCATAGGGCGAGGGGATAGGCTGAAGGCTTGGCGAGAGTATACCAACTCCAGCTTGGTCAAACTTCATGGTCAACAGCTCCGATCAACGCCCTGGTCGCCACCTTGGTCAACACTAATCAACGCCCTGGTCAACTCCTTGGTCAACGTTGTTCAACACTTCGGTCAAGTCCTCGGTCAACGCCGACATACACCCCAGCTGAAAAACACTTGGTCAACTTCAGTAAACGCCTGGTCAACGCTGGTGAGTACCTCGGTCAACTTTGGTTATGGCTGCGAACCTTCCTTCTTTTTCCTCCCTCGGCTATGGCTTTTTCCTCACCTTCGTCTCTATCTTCTTCACCCCCCTGGTATGGTCTCTCTTTCTCCCTTCTTTGTCTCTCCTTCCTCCTCCACCTCAGCTATGATTCTCTCCCTCTCTTCGTCCCCTCTCTCTCTTCTTTTACTCTTCTTCTCCGTGTCCGAGCTTGGCGGCTATGGCTGCCACCTTCTTCCTTAGGCCGCACAACAATCTTGTATCGTTCTTCTCTCTCTCTCTCTCTCTCTCTCTCTCTCTCTCTCTCTCTCTCTCTCTCTTCGTTGTCTTCTGTGCAGGTTCGCGGCACCCTCATTCTTCGGTGCGCAGCTGCAGCTATGGAGCCCGACTTTGAGCAACGGCGCTGGCGCGTGGAGTAACAGGTACCAGCTCCGATACCAATGCAATCAAACTCGCTTTCTTCTTCGCTTCACATACATGCAAACAGATGGGGATTCACACTGGCCCACAGCGCCCACTCAAAGCTCAGAGATACGGAACTCGAGAACACAGTTCAGGCGCAAACCTGCTTCAACAGGCTATGGCGCTTTAGCGCCTGTACAACCCAACTCTCCACACAGTCTCCAACACCACTGTTTGCACACACTCAACTCTGGATCACCCTGAATACCCCACACACATACACACTCTTGCGTCTCTCTCCTATCTACAGCGGCTATGGCCGCTTAACCACTAATTATGGCTACGCTAACTTCTTCTAGCCCTCTTCAACCTCGGGCGCTCTGCAGACCACCTCGCACAAGTCGCTTGAGACAGCGCTTTCGCATGGCTTATGCAACAAATGAATGAATCCTTGGACGCTGCCTCTTGATTTATACTCCTGTTGGTCGCTGGTCTGCCCCTTTCCTCCATGCCCTTAAGTCAGTCAAGGGGTGAGAGTCTAAGTGGTGAGGAGTGGAACTGTCACCGAGTTGTACACCTATCACCATGGTTGACACGCGCAGTGGTAAGAGCACCATCCCATATACAAAAGAGCAAGAAGAGAGTGTCGCCGCCATACTGAAAGAAAGAAAGGAGAAGGAGGCCAAGAAGAAGGCCCTGTTAGAAGCACAGGTGGCGAAGAAGAAGAAGCTTGAGGGAGAGATGGAGAGAGTGAAGAGAGAAGAGGAGCAGCAACTTAAAGAAGTAGAAGAAGAAGAAGAGGAAGAAGAGGAGATACCCCTATTGAAGATTGGGAGGAGAGAAGAAAGAGGGGAGTCCAGTGGGACCAGTGAAGACCAAAAGAAACTAGAAAAGATGGTAACATAATGGGTGGCTAACTTATCTCTGGGGGAGGATGAAGAAGCCTTGATGTATATCCCCTAGGACGAGAGGGATGCTACAGTGGCAGAGATAAAGGCCTTGTCATATCCGTTAGAGCAGAAGGCCCTAGAGGACGAGAAAAGAATGGAGTGGAAGTTGCGACTGAGAAGGCAAAGGAGGAGGCACATAGCGGCGGCCACTGAGTTGGAGAAAGAATTAGCTGCCGCAGCAGAACAACATACACAGGCGCTTGCGTCTGAGAAGGCAGAGGAGGAGGCGCATAGCGGCGGCCACTGAGTTGGAGAAAGAATTAGTTGCCGCAGCAGAACAGCATACAAAGGACGTGCAGAGTAAGTTGAATGCAATCGCAAAGAGCATAGATGTGTTGATTCGCGTCCAACAGGAACAGATGCATGCCTCCAGGGGCCATGACAGAGCCCTGCAGTCCATCCGAGTAGGTTTTAGAGATTTTGCCCACGATATGATGATGCGGATGGGCTCTGAGATGCAGGCCCGCATAAAGAACACAGAACAGTTCTATGTTGGCGCCATAGAGGGCGTTAAGATAGCAGCCCCAAAGGAGGAAGAGGCATGCCCGCGTAGGGAACGAGTCAAAGTTAAGTTTCCTGACGCCTATAGCGGGAAGCAAATGGAAGATTTCGATAATTGGGAGGCTACATTAACTCCTACGTGCACCTCCAAAATACACCTCCAAAATATTATTCCTGAGGAGCAAGTCCTCGTGGCATTCCATGCCCTTAGAGACGAAGCATCTAGCTTCGCCAAGTCATTAGCCGGTGCCACCAAGTGCGACAACGATATGGTGGCGTATTCCACCATCGCTCCCCTCAGTGAATTCCTGAAGTTACTTCGCGAATGTTTCGCGGATGTAACTAAAGGAATTAAAGCATTTGACAAGCTCCAGACAATCCACACACGACAATGGAGGAGTGCAAGGGCACTCAAAGGGGCCATGGACGAGCTTGTCGCAGTCCCTAACCATGGGGTCACCGAGCCACAGTTGGTTCAATTATTTTATCGTGCGATGCCCGAGAGTTTGCACGGGCATTTCTATGACAAGTCGCGAGACGTTGTTGCATATGAGGCCAGTCCACGCCAGTGAAGGCTTTTTTGGCATAGAGATTTTGAGAAGGGTAAGAAGTGGAAGGGCCATACCATTTTAGGGCAGGTTAAGGGGAAGGATGGCCTGATCCTGACTTTGGATGAGGGAGGAATGGAGGAGGTCCCGTATAGTGAGATAGAGTGGGGCCTCAAAGAGGAAGACAGGAGTGTAGGTCAGGGGAGGTCCTATGCTGCTGTCGCGGCTGGAGGGAGGCCGCAAGTAAGAGGAGGCCGGTGTCGACCGGTAGAAGGAGTCTGCCGGCCAGCAGATCTAACCCTATGTCCGCCCCGCGTCTCTCACCCGCGGGAGGGCTAGTTCCGGGCTCCTGCAACCTGCAAAACGACCAGGTGAGTACGCACAACCAAGGTACCAGGGCAAGCATAACAAAATGCTTGCAATAATAGTTCTTCTCAGTCTATAATAATTATCTCAGATGTTCCCGAAGGTGTTCGGCATGTTTTAAGATCGGACTCATTTTGCAGCTCTGTCTGAGTTCCAACTCTCTTGATCGGAAGTCTGTCCTGGACTCTTATGTCCAATTCGGCACTGTCTGTAGCAGCCCCGCCCGTGGTACGGTACTCGAACTCTCGGAGTCTGATGCACATGGCAACACGAAGCACACTCGTGCGGTTCTGTGCTCGGGCTCTCGTGTGTTTCCACGATCTTCTGAACCCAAATTTAGTCCACTACCTCAGTGCGGACCCAACGTGATCTCTGTTCCCACACGGTCCCAGTCTCGATCTCGCTGGTTCAGATTCGGTCTCTGGTTCCTCGAGCTTGTATGGACTCAATCTACCTTGGATTTTCTGTCCTGATATTCGCTGACTTCACTTTCAGTGATCAGCAGGCCAACTCGTTGTCTCTGTGCTTCCGCTAGCTCTGCGCATTGGGGATTCCTTTCAAGCTCGTTCCCTCGATTGTAGTTCTGGGTCTGCTAGGACCATTCTGTATCCACTGTTATCCGATGCAGCACTTCAAGCTTGTTGAACTTAGTCTCTTTGCCCAATGTACTGAAGCATAAATGACATTCATTGCACTTAGTCCCAAATACGGTCTCCCCCCCCCCCCCCCTCTGAATAGAACGCAGGGTCATCATACTATAGCTCTATCTAGATTGATAGCTATCCCAAGTACAAGCGTAATAGTCGTGCGTTGTATTCGGGAGGAGAGCGCTGAGCTGAAATCACATTGCGTCGACACCCGAAGGGACATAGAGTCGAATCAGAGTCGAGCGCAACAGGGTCTTCCCTTCCCGCCGATTCTTCCAAGCTCGTTCCCCTGATTGCGATC